TATTATTGTGTAGTGTCGTATAGTGTTGTATACTCTTGTACAGTGTCGTATAGTCTTGTATAATGCTGTATAGTGTCGTATAGTGTCGTATAGCCTTGTATAGTGTATAGTTTTGTATAACGTTGTATAGTGTTGTATAGTGTCGTATAGTCTTAAAAATTATTGTATAGTGTCGTATAGTGTTGTAAATAGTACTTGTAAAATGTCGTATAGTCTTGTATAATTAACATTGTGTAGTATCGTATAGCCTTATATAGTGTCGTATGGTGTTGCGTAACGTTGTGTAGTGTTGTATAGTCTTCTTTAGTGTAGTATATAGTGTCATGTATAATCTTGTATAGTGTCATAGTTTTTATAGTCTTGTATAACGTTGTATAGTGTTGTATATATAGTGTCGTATAACCTTATATATTGTTGCATAGTCTTGTATAACGTTGTATAGTGTCGTATAGCCTTTATTGCTGCCGAGCCTCAGCTCGGCAGCACACTATTCTTGACGTTACATGATGTTCTTGCTTTTTCGTGTCCAATCCCCGCAGCCGAGTTATGTATAGTCGAATAGCGATTTTCACTAGGTGGAGATTTCGGCATTCCAGGGGGCTCATTAAGTATTCAAGTTGGTTTGTAAAGTGAGGGGGTTGTTCAACAAAATTTTCTTCAATGATGCGAGCAGGCTACTCAAATATGTGTCTTTTAAGTGTTTCACCCGAAATTTTCAGTACATAAAGTAATAATATCTGTAAGTTTAGTTCATATACTCAGTGTTTATTTATCGATGTGATGAACCGGTTTAATAAAGTTGCGAATATCGAGGGTAACAGCCTGGGTTTATGCTACCAGCTACCTACTTTATGGCTACCTACTAGAAATCGCTGGCTACTATGTATATGAAAGAGTTTAAGAATTTATAAACTATTGTTTGTTCAAAGTCGAGTAATGTATTGTCATTATAACTTATTTTGACATTAGTCAAATGTCCACAGTCAATGGCACAATATGTCTTACAGTACTAGGTTACCCACAGGGCAGTAATGCTGCCTTTGACAGCAAAAGACAAACTACAGGGTGTTGAGTCCTTCAGAAACATCCTATTATTGTTTAGCCTGCACGGCAGGCGGTTCCTAAAATTGGGCAAGCCTGGGAAATACCGCCTGCCGTGCAGGCTAATTATTGTTATCCTTGTTAACCCATTTATTGACAGTACCCTACCACTGACTGAGTATTAAAAATCGTCTGGCGTTGGACAGGGTAAATACTAAAGTAGGGGTCATTACTGTGCTGATGAATTAACAAGAGCCATTGGCAGATAGGTTTGTTAACCCATTTACTGGCAGTACCCTATACCACTGACGAGTAAAATCTTCTGGCGCTCGACAAGGGAAGGGCGCATTGCCAGCTAATGGGTTAAACCACCGTGGTTAAACATAAGATTTCATGATGCTCCAGGAAATGTAAACAAGCTATCAGTGTGACATCCCAGTTTATATATTTATATACTCGGAATATTGATTTCTCGGTACATACAAAATTATTTTAAAGTATAACAACCAGCGAAGACGTAAGGCACTAACTACCCTGCGCGGCTGCGCGCAGACTATATAACGACATATATATGTCATCCGTCCGGTCCGTCCGTCATTCATCCGTCCGTCCGTATCCGCGTTTTATCCTAACCTGTTTTTAAAACACAAAGTTTGCATTTAATTAAGGCAGTGCGGTTCGTCATGATTAATATTTTCAAAAGCGGCCAATTAGACCAGGGGTTAAAGGGCAATGACAATGACATGCAGGTGACATTTAACATTGCGTCTCACTAATTAAAATTTGCGTGTTTAATAGTGTTTATCAAAGAAAGCAAAAATATATACAAGACAATCTCACATGTGGAGTTTTTTCACTTATAGTACGTACTGCCTTGTGATGCAGCACAAGTATAAATACAAATGACAAAGCATTTGTAAATCCCAAAACATAATTAAATCGTACGGCACATTTAAGATTTTAATATCGTATTTCAGCCGCGTTTATACTGTTTGGCGCATTCGCTGCGTTATATATATTCATTTACATGTATATACACAGAAAAGCATGTCATTGTCCTTGCAGACCATAGGCAAAAAGCATTTGTCAACCATGCACATACCAAATTTAAGCAATCGTTAAATCATATACATGTCATGGAAAGAATATGGAAATAATGTTGAATGAAAGCTAGCAACGCGTATAATATTAAAAGCACCGCATATAGTGCTCGAACCACTGCGTATAATTGCAAAAGCATCGCGTATATAAATGGTGAAAGCACCGCGTATAATACTGGAACCACCGCGTATAATGGCGAAAGCACCGTGTATAATGCCAAAAGCACCGCCGTATAATGTTAAAAGCACCCAACAAAATGCCGTTTGATCACTTTAAGCCAGCTATGGCTTTCCATAAAAGAAGACCAAAGATGAAACATGATCACATTGCCTGTTTGCCTTATCCCTGACCGCGCTGCACCACGGTTAAAATTCACTGGTACCGTCATGCAATGCGCCAAATAGAAAATTTTGATTTCGACCCACAAAACAAAACTAGGTTACCCACAGGGCAGTAATGCTGCCTTTGACAGCAAAAGACAAACTACAGGGTGTTGAACGAGTCCTTCAGAAACATCCTATTATTGTTATCCTAGCCTGCGTAGCGGCTCTCAGAGACTTTCTCTGATAGCCGCTACGCAGGCCATTGTTATCCTTGTTAACCCATTTATTGACAGCACGGCCCTACCACTGACTGAGTATTAAAAATCGTCTGGCGTTGGACAGGGTAAATACTAAAGTCATTACTGTGCTGATGGATTAACAAGAGCCTTTGGCAGATAGGTTTGTTAACCAATTTACTGGCAGTACCCTGTACCACTGACGAGTAAAATATTCTGGCGCTGGACATGGGACTGGCGCATTGCCAGCTAATGGGTTAAACCACCGTGGTTAAACATAAGATTTGATGCTCCAGGAAATGTAAACAAACTATCAGTGTGACATCCCAGTTTATATATTTATATACTCGGAATATTGATTTCTCGGTAAATACAAAATTATTTTAAAGTATAACAACCAGCGAAGACGTAAGCCACTAACTACCCTGCGCGGCTGCGCGCAGACTATATAATGACATATATATGTTATCCGTCCGGTCCGTCCGTCGCCATCCGTCCGTCGCCATCCGTCCGTCATTCATCCGTCCGTCCGTATCCACGTTTTATCCTAACTCGTTTTTAAAACACAAAGTTTGCATAATTAAGGCAGTGCGGTTCGTCATGATCAACATTTTCAAAAGCGGCCAATTAGACCAGGGGTTAAAGGGCAATGACAATGATATGCAGGTGACATTTAACAT